ATCTCTAAAATGGGAATGCTAGTAATACTTATTTAACAGTCTTACTGGGAAGCACTAAACAAGATAACAATATATTTTTTTAATTTTTAGTGTGATTTGGGTGAAAGTTTACAGAGCAAATTCACTTTCCATATAGCAGCAGTTCACATACACTGTCTCACGACATTGACTACAATTTACCCCAATGCAACAGCTCCCTTCCCACTTCCTCCCGACAGTTACCTTTTCCCTGTTTCCATCCCTCCATGCACTCCTGCCCCCTGAGGTGTCTCCCTGTGCATACACAGCCCTTCTTTCTCCCATGACTGTTCCCTCCAAGGAGTGTATCTACCTCAGGTAAATGTTCAACTTATATGCCTGTCTTTTGTTTGGCTGGAAGGGCAGTTAGGGGCCATAGTCTCAGTGGTTCCACCAGGCTCTATCAGACCAGCAAACCTGGTCCTCTCCCCTCCTTTTTTTTTTTCTCCAAAATGATTTTGAGTTTTGTTCCACATTGTTCTCCCTCTCTTTCCAGGATCTCCTCCATAGATTCCCCTTCGAGTGGTTGACAGTGGTAGCTGGGCACCATCTAGTTCTTCTGGTCTCATAATCATATAGGCTGAGGATCACATGCTGTACCAGTCATAAGGACTAATTGTTTCTATGAATCTTTGGTTTTCTTCATTCTTCTTTGCTCTAGATGATGAGAGACCTACCATTGCATCTAGATGGCTGCTTGCAAGTTTTTAAGATCCTAGTCACTACTCACCAATGTAGGAAGTGGAACAATGTTTTGTGTAGTATGTTAAGCCAGTTGAGCTTGATGTCCCCTGCGACTATGGTCTCGAGCTCATGGGTTCAGCTACTTGCTCTCTCTGGGTAGCTGGCTGTGACCAAGAAGTGACTATAACCTTGTCTCTTGTCAGCTCTACTATACACCCCTGGGAATTCTTACAGAACATACAAATACACTTGTAGAACCATTGTCTTCCAACCCTATATATGGTCTTGGGTACACTCCCTGCTGCATAGACATACCTAATAGTTCAGCCTGTCCACCCATCTATCCACCCATATACCCATGTTTGCCTTCACTGACAATGCAGTACTGTATGTGCAAAGGGGCTTGTCTTTGTTATCTGCACCTCCCATGAACCTCTCTCTCTGTCTTCGTCTTCCTTAATGCCACCATGTTAATCACTCACATTTGGTACATTGCCCTTCTCTTCATCCAAGTCAATACTTACCTCTACCTATCTAACAGTGTTCCCTCCCCTCCCCTCCTACCCCTGGTAACTAACAAAGAAAATTTCCTTCCATATATAAACATTTCTTTGACTTTTACAATAATGGACTAATACAATATTTGTCCTTCTGTGATTGACTTAATACACTCAGCATAATGTCCTCCAAGTTCATCCACGTTATGTGGTGTTTTGCAGATTCTACATTATTCTTTAGGGTTGCATAGTATTCCATTGTGTGTATGTACCATAGTTTGATTATCCATTCCTCAGTCGATGGACACCAGGATAACAATTTACAATGCTTAGCAGGTGCTCAGTGAATGACAGCAATTATTTTCCTTGAAACCATTCCTTTCTTTCTTCTTCTTCTTCTTCTTTTTTTTTTTAATTGTGCTTTGGGTGAAGATTTACAGAGCAAATTCACTTTCCATACAGCAGTTCACATATACTTTGTCTTGTGTCATTGACCACAGTTTACCACAATGCAACAGCTCCTCTCCCACTTCCTCCCCATAGTTATCTCTTCCCAGTTTCTATCCCTCCATACACTCCAGCTCCTGAGCTGTCTCCCTGTGCATAAGCAGCCCTTCTTTCTCCCGTGATTGTTCTCTCCAAGGAATGTATCTACTTGAGGTAAATGTTTAACTCATATGCCTGTATTTTGTTTGGCTGGAAACCACAAGTGTGGGTTCAATTCCAGACCTAAAGGGCAGCTAGGGGCCATAGTCTCAGTGGTTCCACCAGGCTCTATTGGACCAGCAAACCTGGTTCCCACCTTTTTTTTTTTTCTCTCCAAATGATTTTGAGTTTTGTTCTACATAGTTCTCCCTCTCTATCAAGGATCTCCTACATAGATCCCCTTCCAAGTGGATGACAGTGGTAGCCGGGCACCATCTAGTTCTTCTGGTCTCATAGACATATAGGCTGCAGATCAGATGGTGTACCAGTCCTAGGACTAATTGTTTCCATGAATTTTGGTTTTCTTCATTTTTCTTTGCTCTGGACGAAACCATTCCTTTCTCCCTTCCCCTCTGCCCTGCTCTTCTCCTCAAGTACTCCTTCTCTGCACAGCAAGGAGCTAAGTTCTATCCAGTGCTACATCCCCAAGACTGCTGGTCCAGCCTGCACCTGCATAATGCTCCCATAGCCCAAGTCTTCCACTTTCCCCAATTTCTCTCACCAAACCTACCTTTTGTTTTGTTTTGTTTTTTTGTCATCATGCTCAGTTCTCTGCCAGCAGTTAGATAATTTGCTTACTGTGCTAATGCCACAAGCCTGTCTCCTCTGCCCCAAGGCTGGTTTTGCCTTTGATAAGGAACCTCTAATACCATATTCCAAAAGCACTTCTAGGTTGGCTGGACCAGTAGGAGACCAGGGCGCCAAAAGGGCTTTTCTGGACTACTCTGATCATCACACACGGAGCAGGGACTCTAAGCTCCCTTGTCTTCTGTCCTAGTGCAGCCTGATTAGAAGGCATAGAAAAACAGAAGGATTGAGAACATAGTCAGGGTACAGCTTTCTCGAGGTTAGGTTTTGAAGTCGAGTTTTGAAGGCAAAACTGGATTCCAGTCTAAACACCTTTAAATTGTTTCTTGCTTGAGCATCAGCTGAAGCTCTTGACTTGATTTAGAGCCCCACATTGTATTAAAAAATATATTTGTAGACAAGAATCCCACCAGAAGGGTGAGGTATGCAAACAGTGGACCGCACATCCTATACTCACTCCATGGTACAGGCTTGCTAAGTGGTAGGTTCTAGGGGAATTGCCAGCTCTATTTATTTGTTCCTGTTGCAGAACCTGAGTAAGTTAAATGCACCTGGATATGATTACACCATATCATCTCACTAATTTTTTTTGTGGCCTGCAGGGACTTGGGTGTGCCCTTGAATGCTTGTTTAGGATGTTCTTACAGAAGATTCCCACATGGGTCTCCAGCTTTTCCCCCAAGAGTTCCTATTGTCTCTCCCCAAGGCACACAGCCACAGATAAATTCCCTTTCATTGTGGGATGAGTATGCAATACAGTGTGCCCCTTAAATGTCCCAGCTTTCCTACTCCCTCTCCCTTCCTCAGGAAGAGCTAGCCCTTAGAGGAAAATTAGGATTCCTTTCCAGGTACTAATGGAGAAATTTATAGCCATAGTCAGCTTCTCTAGTTAAGGTCAGGTAAGAGTAGTGGTACACAGCTTTCAAAATGGCTCTCAACGATCCCTGCATCCTGGTGTTCACACCCTTGTGTAATCCCTTCCCTTGTATGGGATGGACCTAGCGGTTTACTTCTAATTAATAGCAAAAGTGAGGGATGACACTTCCAAGATCAGGTTATGAAAGACACGACTTCCGATTGCTATGTTCTCTCTGCCTCTTCTCTTCAGCTTGTTCTGAGGAAGCCAGCTGCCATGTTGTAAGCTGCCCTGTAAAGAGGCCCATCTGCAAGGAACTGAGAGGGAAGCTGAGGCTGTCAGTCCAACAACCTGTGAGGAACTGACTCCTGACAGCAGCCATGAGCGAGCTTGGAAGCAGAACCTTCTCCACTCAGCCTTGAGATGGCTGCAGCCAATAACGTGGACCACAGCCTTGAAAGACCCTGAAGCAGAGGACCCAGCTACGGAATCCTGGCTAACAGAGATCGTGAGATATTAAGTGGTGTTCTAGGCCACAAAATTCTGGGTAAATTCGTTATGCAGCAAAAGATAACTATACAAGAGTTCCGAAAAACAAATGTAAATGGACCTAATGATTAACTGGCATCAACTCACCATTTTGAAATACAGGTCTGGTGGTGAGACTGATCTGAGTCTCTGACCTGGTGTAACCTATATACTACTTCTGAGCCTTAGTTTCCTCATCTGAAAAATAGGAACCTCTACAGGGCTATCTCGAGGAGTAGGGGAGATAACATACCCAGACGGTGTGGGAGAGGGGCCATAACTGTTTGTGGAGTCTGTCTGAGCCAGTGCACGCTGGGCTCAGCATGCTTCCTGATCCAACCCCCCAAGCAAGCCTGCTTGAAATCAGCAGGGGGGCAGCCCTGGTAGGTTCTCCGCCTACAGTAGCTCTCTAAGGCTAAGGCTGACAGGGCAAAGAATCAGGAGAACACATTGTCATGTAGTTTTGAGCATTTTAATGCAAAACGATCTGTTGCTTTTTGTCCTAAACTTTTGTGTGTGTGTGTGTGTGTGTGTGTGTGTGTAAAGAAAGCAGTGCCAGAATGGAATAGGCCTCCTACGAAGTATTTTTGTGGGATGAGCCCCTGAGAAACAGAAGTTCTCAAGTCAAACCTGCGTGAACACCATTTGCCTTCTCAAGGAAAATTACATTTCCCTTCTCTCATTTTGAAATGAAATATAGCAGAAGGCCACAGCCTTGGTTTTTCATTAGATACCAGAAGCAGTGCTACCTGTGCACACTTTCCTCTGATTCTCTGGGTTCACACATGGAAGACAAACATTCTGAAATAAGCTTGGATGTCTTTGCTTTTCTGTAACAAGCCAATTGCAAAACTCATGGGTCCCTGGTGGAGCAGTGGTTAAAAGTGCTCAGCTGCTAATGAAAATGTCAGCAGTCTGAACCACCAGCCACTCTGTGGAGAGAAAGATGTGGCAGTCTGCTTCCACAAAGGATTACAGTGTTGGAAACCCTATGGGGCAGTTCTACTCTGTCCAGTAGAGTCACTAGGGGTTGGAATAGATTCGATGGCAGTGGGTTTGGTTTGGTTCGGGTTGCAAAACTCAATTATCAAGAAGAGTTTCCAGAAACACTAATCTGAGAAATAAGATTATAACAGGAGCCTGTAGATTTACTTCTTGTTCAACAGTAGGGCTAACCTTCATGTCTTATCAGAAATAAAGGGCACAGTATTTATTACAAGCCTGGGCCATGAAGACACAGCAGGGAGAATATAAAACCACTTGACAGTGGTCATCTCAAATTAGTAGCCTAGTTACAGGAGATCACAAACTGTGAGGGCCGCCCTGTGTCTTGGATTTGGGTTAAGTCACTGGATTGTATCTCCTGCCACAATCCCAAAAGTCATCTGAGTTGTGGAGCCAGCTGCTCCTCATCCTCTGAACACTGCCATCCCCATGACTCTGAACTTGAGTACCTAGGACTATATTCAATGGCCCAAGAAGGCAGAGCTGCCTTAAATATTGTATTTCAATTACAGAACTTCAGTTTCTCTTAAAATCAAGTTGCGGAAGAAGGCCTGGGTGCTGGCACCGCCCAACACCTCCTACTAGGGCTACGTGACTCTTTCTGAAAAAATCTCTCTGCAGGCAGTGATTGTATGGCTTAATTCTTCTAGACTGAACCACTTCAGATTTATGCCAGGGAAAAGCAAACGCTGTTTGTAAGTCATTTAATTGTGTTACTGTCTCTCAACTTTATCAGATGCTGCTGAGGCAGTCAGTCCTGTGTGCAGTCCTGTGGGATGTTTTGCAGAGCTCCCAGGCTTGTTCTAAATGCCCACAGTGCAGGGTCCCTAATGCTGCTGCTTCCAGACTCATAATAAACTACTAGTTTAACAGGTTCAAATGGCATTTGTCTCAATCCATGGTCTATGGTGAAGGCTGCATCACCAACAAACTCACAGCCTTGATTGCAGAACCATTAACCAGTACACACGTAGATGCAAACCTGGTTTATTATGTTCTTTGGGTAAATATCATTTATACACCCTTTTAGAGCAATATAAGAACAAAGATAATGATTTCTGCTAGAAAGATGGAAAACGTCTTCCATTTTAAGAGCAAAGATTGAATTTACATTGTTTGCACTATTATAAACTCTTATAATTAGACCAGACTTATAAAAAGGTAGGGCTTTTTGTTGCTCTTGCTGTTTGTTTGAAAAATAGATTCTCCTGGGCTAGCCAACATCACTGTCCTGGGATCATGGCCTACACAGGTCCTGAGAAGGGCTGTGTGGCACATGCTCAGAGAAGTTGGGTCAGCTCATCATGTCCTGGCTGCCGGATGGTTCCGTGCTGCTGTCACAGCGCAAGGCTTCTGCTACGTCTCTTCTGAAGACGGACAGGTTCTGGGTGAACCTGTGGAAAGAAGGAAAGGTGGCAAGGCTGGGCCGCTCCATCCTATGAAGTGGGCTGAGCCTTTCCCACCCTGCAGGAAAGGCACTGTGCAGTTCAGGACCTTGGAGAGGGCCCCTCTTGGAGGAGGGCTCTGGATTCCACCTGAGCTCCTTCCTCTTCACTTCCACCACCAACACTGCTTGTCACCAGCACCCACCCACCCTACTGCCTCCCCTCCTGGCAAACGGGTTACCACCACATCTACTCTGACCATTTCAAGTGGGGTTCCACTATTTAATTTTATTTAAAGTCAAGTTACAAAAAGATAGTAAGGAAAAAAACTAAAGCTTATGTACTAGGCACTGAATTGATTGTTTTACAAAGAACTCACTGAATCATTACAGCTCTTCCCAAAGGTCTGTATTAGTATCCTCATTGTACAGTGGGAAAAACTGAATTTAGTAATTCAAAAAGTTGCTGGGGGATGGTATTGGGATTAGACTATCTGGGTTCAAATCCTGGCTCTACCACATATTACCTCAGTGGTCTTAGATGAAGTACTTAACCTCTTGGTGCCTATCGGGAATAGCTACCTCGTAAGATTGTAGGAAGCGAGCACTCACTGAGTCAACTGAGCCATTGCCTGGCACGTGGAGAACATTCAGGCCATGCTCACTCTTCAGCTAGGAGGGCTGCCTGACACCTGTCTCAGAGTGGCTTGAGAAGGGGTGCTCAAATTGCCAAGTGTCAGATGAGGCAATTTCCCTTCTAGGGAAACTGAGGCACCTAGGTTTGCCTTTCTCTGCTTGATGGAGGTTCCTGGTGTGAAATAAGCAGTTGGGGGACTTGTCTGCAGGGCCCCTCTGACTTGGCTTGTACAATTAAAGCCAAGGCTGGTGACCCCATGATATACCGTGGGTCTGGGATGACTTGTGAAGTACATTTCAAATAGTGTAGCATTTGAATGCTACCACTTTCACAGAAGAATGGTGTAGATGGTTTTTCTCCTGGACACTTTTTTTTTTTCCATCATTCATTATTGTCTGTCTCCACTTGAGTGTAAGTTCCATGAGCACAGGAACCTAGGGCACCTACTTCACCACTGGTTTCCCTAACGCCTGCAACATAGTCGATTCTCAATGTTTTCTGAAATGAATGAATGAATCAGGCATAGCTGATACGTTCAGGTTCCTCTCATTTAGATCTGACTGGCAATTGCAATTACAGCCACTCTTAAAGGACAGCAGAGGAAGAAACTAATATTTATTGTGGGTCATATATATTCCAGGTTCCACACTTTATTACTCTGTGACTTAAGCATCACAACCAAGTATTATTGTCTGGTTTACTGGTGACAAAAATGAGGATCAGAGAAGTTAACTGCCTTGCTCACTGCCACACAGCCTATAAGAGGCAGAGCTGAAATTTAAGTTGAACTCTGTCTGACCTTAAAGCCTATGCTTGTTCAAATGCCAGGAAAACCTTCCCTTGTTCTCTGCAGCATGTCTCATCTTTTCTTCTTTTGACCTTTTCAAGTACAGTTATTTTTCATCTCTCTCCTGTTGGATTATAAACTGCTCAAGGACAAAGGCTATATCTTATTAATCTCTGCTTCCCTGTATAGTGCCTAGCATGATGCTTGGAACAAAGCAAATACCCAATAATATTTATGAAATGGAACTGAACTGAGTCCAGGATTGCAAGGGGCAATAGAAAAGCAACATCAATGTGTGAGTGGTGTTAGGCACAACCCAGTTATCTTCCACAAACCTGGAATATCCACCTCCCTGGGAGACGCTGGGCCTCTTGGCAGGGGTGGAGCAAGGGTAATGAGCCCCCAGGGGCCACCTCTTAAGTTTGCATAGCCTACCTGCCCACCAGCCCAGTGGAGGGGAGGGGTGACTCACTGGCTGGAATCATCTGGTGCCCCTTGGACTTTTGCCCTTCTCTCCCTGCCCCCGCCATGCCTCTGCCTCTAGGGCAGTACTCACTTGTCTCTGTTCTTGACCGACAGATTCTGTTCCACTCCTTCCATCAGGTTCCTGAAGCACTGGGCAAGGACCTCTTGCTTGGGGAGAGGCTGGCTGTTTATCAAACTTGCCCGCAGCTCACTGAAATACTGTTGGGAGACAGAAGCAGCATCAGAGTTCTGACCCCAAGCCTACTGTGGGAAAGAGCTGAGGGTGAGGCTGGGGGCGGGGGGTGGACCAGCTGTGACCTATTCCGGACTCAATTCATTCTCAGAGGAGTTTTTGTCCAGATCCACTTTGAACTTTTAAGCCCTTAGAGAAAACCAAAGCAACAGAGACATTCCCAGGTGTAAAGTGTGCTATTCCTTCCCATAAAAATTTCTTGCATTAACTGTTCCATGGTTACTGCTTATGTGGATGGAGTCCTTGCCTCTTCTGTGGGAGATCTAATGCTTGAAGGTCTTCCTGACTCTACCCACCATTCATCACAGAAAGGCTGAAAGAGGAAGTTAACTAAATGGCCACGGAACAGTTTGGGTGACTGAAGTTTAGGCCAAGGGTGCCCTCCCCCACAAGGCCTCGTCCTCAAACAACTTCAGGCCGTGTCCTAAGTCACTGTCCTAGTGGGTAAGGATGAGTCTATTCTGCTGAGTGGGGAGACATGTGGGGCTTGCTTCGTTCTGGGAAAGCTTTCTGGCACTAAAAAAACATATGTCACACTTGGTCACAAGTAACTGCACAGCCACTTCTCTGCTGGGTCTGTAAGCTTTTATACAAACGTGAGCTCTTTTGCTAAACTCAGCTCCTAATCATTGGAAACAGCCTAATTTCAGCACAAAGACATTTTGCCAGTCATGGGTTTATTCTTCCAAGCCCAAACAGCATGATATTTAATTTCCATCATACACTAAAACAGCTCACATCAAAAACACACATAATTAATATGTAGTCAGACTAATACTTAACTACTATATATCAGAGGCATTACACTTAAACCACAGTGTCTTCCTGAACAAGATTGGGAATGCACAAAATGACTTATTTTTCCTTTCTAATGATGCAGTGACTCACACCAAATAGAAAATTATTAGTTTTTCATCCCAAACCATGAAATATTGCCTCCATCAGTAAAGTATAATATTGTGATGTCATAAGCTTTTTCTAAACACTGAATTTGCCCTTATTCCCTCTCAATCATTTTAAAAGAACTGCTCTCTTTTATAGAGCTTGGATTTAAATCACAATAACACTGAGGGAAGATGAATGACAGTGCTATTGAATGTGGCTAAAATTGGATACTTCAGCACAGGTGAATGATGAGACAGCTCTTCTCTTTTTGATATATTTTCTTCTTCTATTAGTTTCCTTCCAAGGCTGGGATTTCAGTTTGAATTTTAATGTATGCGGCTGCCTCTAATCTCACTGTCTTTCTCCCCAGTACTCTCTTATTGTATAGACAATTCATTCTCCAAAGCAGTAATGCACTGTTCCTACTGACTGCTGGGGAGATGGGGTGGGTCCAAGAGGAAGCTGGAGAGGCTTGGGAGAGGGCCCAGGATGGCGAGTGCACTTAAGAAGCTAGAGATGGTGCTCCCTGGATGAAGGGTGCTGGCTCTGTGGATGAATTCCTGAGGGGCTGCTTGCATCCATCAAGGACAGAGAGGAGGCCAGATATAAAAGAAGGTCATGGGGATTGGGCAGGAGGGTTGTTGCTCAGAATTCCCCTGGAACGAGGGGAGAGAAGTGAGGACACTGCTGACAAAACCAGAAGAGCTGGTCTGGAAGCCTCTGCTTAATGGAAGGAGGTCTGCGGTCTTTGAGGAAGGGCCTTCTGGGGGAATAGGCTCTTGCCCCAGAGTTCTTAAGGTCCTGCGCATCTGTCCTTCACCATCACAGCTCAGCCTGGTGCACAGCCTCTCCACCATTCTCTCCCTCTTCTTGGTGGCCACATCCCATGGATCTTTCTGCCATCACACTCACCTTCTCGTTGAGTAGGATGAGCCCCAGGAGAGGCCTGGACACTGACCACTGGTTCCTACAGTCTTCAAAGATGATGGTATTCATGAGGACAGACATCATCTAGAAGACAGAGCTACATGAGGACACTGAGGCCTTGGCCTCAGTTCTCCCTAATCCCAGGCCTTTTATGACCCCCTATTCCACCCCTACTTCTTGCTAATAGCCAGGAAGGCTCTTCCCAGACAAACAGCCTATGTACATAGGTAGACAAGCAAGAAAATCAGGTATGGGTAGGCAAATGGGACTATGACCATACATAGGTTTGGCGGATGAATATTCCTACAGACATATTTGAATGTGCTATAAAGATGTCCCTATGCATTATAGAACTAATGGGGGACAAAATTAGGATAACGTCTTAGCCACAACAAAGCACCGTGAGGGAGTGTATTGCTAGACCTGCTGGTTTGGGACCATGGTCACAGAGACATCAACCTTAATTGGCACAACATGTTGTGGTTGTTGTTATGTGCTGTTGAGTCGGACCCGACTCATAGCAACCCCTCCTTGGGTTTCTGAGGCAGTATCACTACGGAAGTAGATTGCCCCATCTTCCTTCTGCAGAGTGTCTGGTGGGTTTGAACTGCCAGCCTTCTGATTAGCGGTCAAGTGTCTTAGCCACTGCTACCAGAGCTCCCTTGGCACAACATACTACACAAAAACATTGTTCTACATCCTACTTTGGTGAGTAGCATCTGGGATCTTAAAAGCTTGAAAGTGGCCATCTAAGATGCAACTATTAGTTTCCTTGTTTAGAGCAAAGAAGAGTGAAGAAAATCAAAGACACATGGAAACAATTAGTCCAGAGGACTAATGGACCATAGGAACCTCTGCCTACATGAATGACCCTCAAACTAGAATAACTAGATACTACCCAGCTACTAGTGCCAACCATTTGGAAAGGGATCAAAATTGGAGAGCTTTGATAGAGTGGGAGAAAAAAATGTGGAACAAAATTAAAAACACATGAAAAAGACCAGTATCACTAGTCAGAGACTGGCGAAACCCCCGAGACGACAGCCACTAGTCACCCTTTGGGCCTGGAATTGGAGCCATGGGAATGGCTTAAGTTCTCAGCAAACAACAGATAGGCCTACAAGTGGAACACCTACACCAGGAGATGCACTCCTTCGACCAATCAACCACGGAGATCAGAAGGGCAGCATTTGCATAGAGAGAAATCTAGAGAGGCAGGAATGGGAAAAAGAACACAGGGAAAGGGTAACCACAGGGAAGAAGTAGAAAAAGAGCTGTTACATTGTGGGGATTGTAATTAGTATGAAATAAAATGTATACGAACTGCTGAATGGAAAATGAATCTGCTTTAGAAAATTTCACCAAAATCACAATAAAAAGTTGAACCCCTCGCCCCCCCCCCCCAAAACAGCCTATGATGCTGCCTGTAGGGATCCTTGGCAAAGACCTCTGGCTTCCCAAGGAGGAGTTTTCACACTCACAGCTTTGGTAAGAACCTTTGGGAGGGGGTAGAATCAGAGGCCAGAGAGCCAAGATGAAGCCTTTCTTCTCAGCACTGATCTGCTTCCTGTCTGGGTCTCAGGTGGAGCCCCAGCTCGTCTGCCTTTCTACTGCTCATTTCACCCAAAAGGGTCAACAGTTATGGAGGATATCTCTCTGAGGCTTCTCTCTTCAGAGACAGAGAGAGAGGAATGGTCACATTCCATGTGGTTGGAAGACCATGTTTCCTGCTGGCTCAGGCTGATAAAGCCTTCTCATTCACTCATTACTAATTCACTCCTACATGCAGATACTCATTCATTTTCTTAACTTCAAAGTCTGTAAGACACCTAGCAAATACTTAGGGGAGGTAAGAAACCACAGGCATCTACCACAAATCTGCTGCCCCTGAGCAGTCTGATGCCTCCTGGTGGAGAGAGAATAGGAAACGGCTGGGAAAGCGCTGTGGCTGCACAGTGTGGGGAGGGATGCCTCTGAGTCCTCCATGAGAAGCCAGGGAAGATTCCACAGAGAAGGCAACATTTAAGGAGTTCAACATAAAAGTGCTCTGAGCAGATAAGCAGCAAGAAAGGAGACTGGGAGTGACCACTGTGGGTTCTGCCAAGGTAAGAAACTCAAATGTGGCAGGAGAGAAGAGAGGTGGCCCAGAAGGAGACCTCAGTGCCAGCTGGGAAGACCATGCTGAGAAATCTGGTCTTCATTCTGATGGCAGTGGGAGTCACTGATGGGTTTGCTGCAAAGGAGAGACATGCTCAGCTCTTCATTTAAGAAAGATCCCCCTGGGACATGTAAAATGTGTTCTGCCTAAGAGAGACTAAAGGATGGAGGCTGAGGAGGAGGCAAATGGCTGGGAAACAGGCTTCAGTCACTTATGTGCAGCGGATGAGACAGTTTCAGCTTCTGGGCCACTTTCCCTCCCTGCTAGCTCTTCTGTTCTCACAGCTTCTGAGTTCCTTCCTTCAAAGGGTGCAGGGGAAATGGCAACTGTGTCTTCTGTACCCCGCCTCACACAGAACAAAGACCATCACACACCACCCTCCTGACTGGACTTTGGTGACTGGGCTCACTTTGGAACACATTTGGTTTTCTTCTCTGGCATTTTTGCAATGGGATTTGCCCTGTGAACCTCAGGCAACCTGAACCTCTCAGTTTCATTAGCTATATATAGAGAAATAATAACCTAGCCCAAGGAAGCTATGAGAATCAAATGAGATGGTGTATATAAGAAGTGTTGCATAGAGTAAAAAGCACTATAAACATTTAAGGTATGTAATGACAGTGGTAATGAGCTTCATTGCAGTTCTAAACACCGGCCGTTCCATACATCACCATCAAAATAGCAGTTAGGCTGATTGCCCATGAAATCTGCCAATTCCATATTTCTTGTCTGTCCAGTCTCTCCAGGGAGAGGTGAGGTCCTAAGCATGCCATGTTGAACATCATTTGCAGATCACATGTTTCCTTATATAATCTAACAAGCCATCCAAAGTCATAGAGCCACAAATTAAATTGACAAGGAAAACTAACAGATCCATGGAGACAGTCTAAAATATTATGGGCTTCACAATCTGAAGGCAGAATGGATATTTTAATGGAAAAGATTAAAGTTAGAGGCACCAAACTCCTCCAGTAACTGACAAAGCATCCTGAAGTGATGTGCCAATTACTTTATACGGTTCTCCCGTGGATTCATTTGTCTGAATGCATGTATTTATGTCTGTAATAAGTAAGGGATGTTTGAATAAAATACTTTTCTAAAAATAAAGTTTGCTAAAATGGATGATTTTTTTTTTCTCTTCCGGAAAAAATGGCAATGAGTGAGCAAATCTCCTCCAATGGTATTGATGTGGCAGCCCATTTCCAGAATCCTTTTTTTGAGTAATCTGTGGGCCTCCCTAAAGTAGGGTATGGGACAAACAGCCCAACAGTGGAGCCAAGTCCTCGGCAGACAGGCCCCATATGAAGGAATAGTGGGGGAAATGCTTAAGTACAGAATCCTGTTCCAGGTATGTGAGATCTCTGTTGGTAGCTCTCTGTGGTTAAAGATGGGAGTAAGTGAAGAATGAAGGAGAGAGCCCTAACCCACCTCACCTCTCGCAGAGTCACAAAGCACCTTCATATTTAGTATAGGGAATTATTGTGGAAGCTGGGACTCTACTTTCCCAACTTCTGCTCACCTCCAGTACTGCCATAGGGATGGCTGGAACGGCCATTTCAAATTTGCCCAACCCAAGTTACCTACTGATGGTGTAGTGGTTAAGGCATTAGACTGCTAACCAAAAAGTCAGTGGTTTGAACCTATCAGCTGTTCTGCAGAAGAAAGATGAGGTGATCTGCTTCCATAATGATTTATAGCCTTGGAAACCCAAAGGGGATTGTTATGAGTCTGAATCAACTCAATGGCAGTAAGTATTTTTTTTTTTTTTTTTTTTTTGAGAGGTCCTAAACACATACATTGGGAGCTCTGGTTGTATAGTACCTAAGGCATTTGACTGCTAACCAGAAGGCTGGCAGTTCAAACCCACCAGCCACTCAGAAGGAAGAGAGGACAATCTACTTCCATAGAGATACTGCCTTGGAAACCCAAGGAGGGTCTCTATGAGTCTAATTGACTTGATGGCAGTGAGTTTGGTTTTAAACACATACATTATTCTAAGCAGCTTTTCTACCAAACTGGTGATGGAACCATTACAGAAGGGAGTTGTATGTGTTAGTCCTTTGAGGAAAGCCACATCATGCTGCCTCAGATGCTTCCTCATTCTTCCCTTTCCCACAGGTTTTGGCATGAGTTTGCAGGAAATTTCTCTCAATGAAAGGAAACCAACATGGTGTGGTGGAGACAGGCTTTGGAGTCAGAACTGAGCTCAAATCTGGCCCTGCCACTTACTTAACTTGGGGCCTTGGACAAGTCATTTCATTTCTCTCAGCCTTTCTTTCTTTCTCTATAAAATGAGGGATTATAATAACTACTTTGCTATGAGGACTGAGTGACTACATATGTATCAAGCATTTTGTACTGTGCTTGTCACAAAGTAGACACTCAACAAGTAACAACACCCTCACCCATTCCCTTAAATTCAAAGTCGGCAAGACATCTAGGGGAGGGTACTCCAACTGTGGTCAATCTCCTGGCCTGACCCAGTGGTATTTCATGGCACAAGGAAGTACCCCATTTCATATCTTGATTAGATAGATAAATGAGATTACAGTTTTCTCACAATTATCTAATTTCATTGATAGTTTCAGTCGCAAAAATAACATTAAATAGGAAATAGTCCAAAAAGCATTTCACCCGACACAGGTATTAATATGGATTTTGAATGAGTGGTTTTGATGTTCTGTAAACTTGTAAGAAGATGAAGCTACTCTAACAAATATCTCCTGAAAAAATAAAACAAAGAATATGTTACATGTTATCTATATCTCTCCCCAACTCTTCTATTCTTTCACCCTTATATGGGTTTGACAGAATCATTCCTCAGGTGGATATAAAGCATAATGCAAAGCGGACATTCCTATCCAAATATGCTGGTTCACACTTTCTCTGCAGCATGCTGGCAATTAAATGCTCTCACATCCAAATG